TTTAAACGAACCTACTTTTAACATTTAATACTTGTCCTATAATGACCATTTATAATAACATCCATTCATCGCGATGATATACGCACACACGTGTAATGACATACAAACAGACACGATTGAACCACTAGCTATCTCCAACTCAAGAAGATGTAAAAGTTGAAATATGCATATCTTGATTTCGATTTTTAATTTTACACAATTACATTACTTTCCATTATCTATTTTTCGCGTAGATGAAAATGTTTAAAAGCTTCTACTATCATGGTATCCTGTTGAGTCGTTTATTGAGACCTTTCTACACGGATATTGATTTTAACGGATTAATAAAAACAGATTGTTGTTAATTGTGTTTGTTGTAACCTTAAAACATTCGTGACATTCGAAAATTTGAATCGTCTGTATAGTCAGAAGACAAGTCCACGGCGCCCTTGTGTTAGCAAGATAAAGAGTGTATTGGTTACCCCTGTTTACCACGACAGCATTGAATTATAAAAGATTAAACAACCGTTTAACTAAGGTGTTTTAGCTGTAAGAAAAGATGAACCGTTTAGCGCAACAGCTCCTGTGTGATGTAACGTGTCTAGGATCATGTCGTAGCCAGGAGGGGGTTGACCCCACCCTTTTACTTCTGGACTAGCCCACCCCCCACAAAGTGACAACAATTTAATGTGAGATTACATGTGCTCGATATGGCGCTCTTACCTCAATGTCATTAAACCATAATTCTACGTTATTAAAGATTGGTATGAATAATTTTGTCGGAAGTCAGGAATAAATGACCATCGGCGATTAAATCGTGCACGCTCTGGTAATTTTCATATGTAAACTACCAGCTAGGTCATGATCGGAGAAATTAATTCATAACATCAACCTTAAAACGATATTCAAAATTTATTTTTAGTAGCATTTCATTACATCATTTCAAAAATTAAAATTAAAATGTAAGCCGATTAAACCATCTCTTAATTGTATGAGATAGCCAAACAAATTTGATCTCTATCATTTAAAAAAATTTAACTCCAGAAAAAAAGAAATATTGACATTTTCTAAGACCGTATTTTAAAAAAAAAAATTGGTTCATGAATCTAGTAAAATGTGAATTTTTAAAATCAAGAAAAACTTATATAGTATATTATTTATTATTATAATCCAAACACAACAATGTATCAACTTAAATAGCAATCATTTTATTTTATCATAAAATTAAGAAATTTCATTGTAATCATTCAAGCAGAATATATATTTGTATAATAATTGAATTAAGAGACAAGAATTCCTATCCAAAAAGAGAGTGGTAGTTTGAAACGTTAAAAACACCAAACATGAGAAAAGCATCATATTTCAATTGTAATTTATACAGTTACGTAGCCTTTAACATCCAGAGGTTCAAGAGATGAGAAAAACAATTAAAGTTACAAAAAAGTGTTACTGCCGATTACAATATCACAGATAATGCTAACTTACAATACAAAGAAATATTTTATTAACTATTTTATTTTCTATTTAAAAATAAGTTATCACTAGGAACTTGAAAATATAGTTTTTGTACTCCAAGACTGGGGTTATTACAAACGTTTTTGAATCATTTAGAAATATTACCCTTATCTAAATTGTCGTATAGGATAATAAGATTTTTAAACATTTCTAAAGTTATAATCATAGCTTATTTTAAAATGAAAAACGAAAGTGTTACCGCATTTTACAATTTATTACATAAAAATTCATACTTTAAGGATATAAATTATTTGGCTGATAATAGGTAATACTTTATTGTATAGGAGAAATTCCCGTCCAGCATTTACATTTAAGGACAAATTATATATATATATATATATATATATATATATATATATATATATATATATATATATATATATATATATATATATGTATGTATATACATATATATTCATATAAATATATAAAGCAATGTATGTGTGGGTGTCTATGTGTCTGTTATTTATGCATTACTACACCTCTCATCCGATCGCCATGAAACTTTGGGACGTTGCTGAGAATACTCCTGTGGAGGTTTCTGCGAAAAAAATTCGATTTCGCACAAGCGGCGCCCTGGCATGGTGCGATTTGGCGCCCCAGGTTATCCCGTTAGTGCTATGGCACCTACGTTAGTTTTTAACAGTGCAATAGATTATGAATAACATGGGGCATTTAGTCGTTTATTAAAATTGAATCGGACGCGTTCTTCGGCGCTCGACAGGTTGCACTTTGGCACTGTGGGCTATCCTGGTAGCGCTATGACGCATACGTTCGCTTGAAGGATTGTGATTTAATATGGATAATAATTAGTATTATAGTCGTTCCCTAAAGTAAATCAGGCTCGTTTGACCACGCCCCAGCAGGGTACGATTTACCCCGGGCTATCCTGGGGATGGGCACTCTAGTATTATATAAATTCCTAAATTTTTAAAACGAATTAGTCAAATTTGAAAAAAAAATAACTGACTTCAAATATTGTGAAATACATAGATTTCAAAGATAGGCACGAATGTATGTGGCCTTATACAATCATACATTAAACTGCCCTCAAAATAGTGTCATTTCCTAAATGGTCATGAATTGAAATTAAGTGATAGGTGAGAAAATAATTTCAACAATTTAATTAGATATATTTGCGAAAAATGCAAAGTGAATGAAACGATTTTTATTATCTACTTTGATTAATTGAGTAAACATAATATATCAACTGGATGTATTAAATACTTTACGTCAGAAAAATTAATATAGAAACATAATATATGTTAAAGAAACGTGTCGAACAGCTAAAATTGTTAAAACCTAATAGAAACTAAGTGTGTGTATATATATATATATATATATATATATATATATATATATATATATATATATGTATATATATAATTAAAGTTATAGATTAATAAACAGAGCATTGAATTGTGAAGTATGGAGCGAAACTTTTTCTTAATATTGTATTACATCCGCTCATAAATATAAGTGTTGATGTACAACAAATGATTATTTGTATCGTGTTTTTAAATTCAAATAAGACTTATAACCTCTAACTCTTTTAGAACAATAGATTAAGTAAATTACATTTAAACAGCTAATTTTAAAAGAACATTTTAATACTACAATATGTACCTCTATCTTACTCGAGTTATATAAAAAAAAATTAAAAATATATACATCTTTATTATTTAAAATAGAACTGAACTTTCAGCAATTTTCAATATCCTATAGATTTATTTTTTAAAACATGTAATTTCAAGCAATTAAAAAAAAATTAATGATTTATCAAATCAAGAACAGCAGCTTTATTCTTCCCGTTTTCATTTTTTCTATTTGACTTTTTCTTCTTGCCCTTTTTGCGTTTCGGAGTCTCATTAGTTGTAATAATTGATGTTTCATTTAATTCATTCATTTTAGGATAAATTTTTGGGGATACAATATGGCCCAGAGGAGGCAACGCTCTTCTTGTTCCTTTATGTCTGGAATGTTTGAATAAAATATGTTAATCGTACGTTTTAAATAATTTGCTTTCTTAACCGAGAGGGATATTTTAAAAAAGAAAAATAAAGTAGATGTTAGAATCAGTAACCTAGTTATGAAAAAAAAATACTTTTGAACGAATATTAATAGGTAATAGAATTATTTTTAATTACTTCAATCTAACTATTAACTTTTTTGTAGATGAAACATTTAAAGAAAACATTCGTGTATCGAGATTTTTTATTTTAAACCTACAAAATGTAACGATAGCTAAAATGATTTTAAAAAATGCATTAGTAGGCACTACAAGTCACGTTTATACTTGTGCCATTAGTAGAAATATACTCTAAAACAAATTTTATAACTAATCTTGTTTACAATATTAAATTAAATCATATTTTAAGATATTATATATAATAAGTGAAAAGAGAAAGTATTGGGAACGTTTATATTTCTAAGCGTTTATTTTCATAAAACTTAAAGAACAATAACCATTTTAGCTGTTGAGAGTGGTCGGCTTTGAATGGCCTTTAAAACCAATGATTGTTAAACGAAAATTTTCCGAATTAGAATCAGCAGGCTCGATAGCTCGCGAAAGCAACCAAATAGTAGAGAAAACTACAAAATCAAACAACTGCTGCCCTATTAAGTTCTTAAACGAAGAAGCTGTTGAGATTGACTTAATTGCATTGTTGCAGGCCGAACTACTATGTTGAATGTAGGTACTTTAAGAATGTTACCCGAATCAGCCACAGTTAAAAAATAATACATCAGACAACACTTTTCAAGTCTGTCGAGAGAGAGAGAATATCTAGCCTACCTGTATTTATACTTACACTTTTACCACATAGCTAATCTCTCTGGATAATTAGACCAAGACTTTTAAGTCTAAAATTATTCCATTGCGGAATACCCTTAAATGTGTCTAATAAATTCATATCAAAGTTCCATCGAAATTTCATGTGGAAGTTTGCAACCTACATAGATACTCTTAGCAATACGCATTTTCCACAGGTTTTGTCATTTTAAAAAAATGAACTATTATTTGTTTTAATTCATATTTTCGCCTATATTGTGTGCTTGGGACAAAAGTTGTGTAATTTTTGAAACAATGAATCTAAATGTTTGCTAAATCAGGCTTATCTTCTTATTAGACTATTCAAATGTCGCCATGGAATAACAAAATGATATTTAATATACCATAGTAGACGGTGGTAGTGGGGTAGTGCAGAGCAAAAAAAAACAACAACAGATTATCACAACCTCAGTATTTAAGAACAAAGCGCAAGAAATATTTTAAAGCAAGTACACACATGTTTGAGTTAGTGAAGTGTCATCACTGATAAAATATAAATAATGTTTTTAATGAATATAAAAAATCGAATAAAAGATATTTGAGGTAACCACATTTATAAACTTGAATTTTGCATCAGCAAGAAAAGAAAATCTATTTTGATGTGCAAGAAGAAGAATCAAACATGAAAAAAAAAATTCACAATAAAAAATACCACAATACGTTTTACTGTACAGGCCAGGAATCCAGAGGAAATATACGCCTACATATTTAAGAAAGACTCTACGATCAAGAAAAACAAAGTTGTAACTCACTTTAGAATTTTTTGCGAATGATGCATCTTATTGTTAACTGTAAAATACATTGACATGAAAACACATTTTATGTTAGTGCCAGCTATAATAAAAGTCTTTATTTTTTGGACAGTAAAATGATATTTACATACATGTGATAGACAATTTTGAAGAACTGTAACTTTAAGAAATGATCTAAACTCTAAGCAATAGATTTTTCTTAACTTAGATATTATTGTTGACATTTTCCGAATTTAGGTAAAAAATGAGTAAATAATTATTACAATATTCGCTTTAAAGTTTGTGTGCGTTTTTATAATAAGTAATGAAAAAACAAACTGTGACTTATAAAAGTCGAAGAAAATTAGGAAACATTATATTAGTAATAGTCCACATCTATAAAAAGAATTTTTAGCATACATTAAAAAAGTGTAGAAAATACGCAAAAGAATTAAAGTCATAAATTCAAAATTAAAGTATTTGTTAGCGATACTATTCAAATATTTCTACAAATAATAATTAATTATGTAATTAAGTAAGAAAATATATGTTTGGTATTTTATAAAGCATACAATATTATGCACATTTTTTGTTTTTGTTACATGTATGTAAAATATAAAAACATCATTTAAATTTTTAAACTTTAAAGCAGCGAGATTAGAGAAAATATTAGTTAATGATTTTTATAGGAAAAAAAAAAACTTACTGAATTGCAGATTCGTTATAATTCTCATTAGTTGATGCTTGATTTTTTGTTGTTCCATTACTTCATAAAAAAGATTTTTTCATAATTAAATAAAAAAATTCCTGCGAATCGTTTTTTACTATATTTTAAATTAGTCAGGAGAAAATATGACTTGAAATGTTAAAATAAATCAAACAAAAATGTAAACTTAGACTGCTATCAGTAGAAGGGAATCTACTTATTTGTATGATTAAGCATTATTCCTTTGCTTTAAAAATCATGTTTTTTTTTATCAACAGCAGCATAAAATAGCGGCATCTTTCTATTTCCTTAGTAAAACAACTTTTAATTTTAAAACTGTAATTGCGACTTAAAACTACGTGTCAATTACATTTTCTAAAAAAGGTTTTTTATTTGAACATTTTGGTATGACTTACCCATCAGAAGACTTATTTGTGCTCTGCAATTGTCTTCCTTTTTCATTACTTGAAATGTCAGAAGTGTGTTCTGAATTATAATTATAATAAGACAAAGTATGGAATATTTGTATGGAGTATTTGTTTATCTTTTTATTGGATCAATAAAACTGTGTCTATTGTCTGCATGCATACGAAAATGTAATCTATCAATTTTCCCATTTAAGCACATAATAGTTCTGCATTCAAAAAACATATATTTAACAATAAACAAGTTAATAAAAAGTCTAGTGACAATTTAAGCGCAATTTCCTTATGTTATCCGTAACAATTTTTAATTTTTTGTTACCGAACGAAAGGATATTTTTTTGCGCTAAAAAAAACAGACAACTATATCAACCTATATCAACGGAAATAGTTTTATTTTAACGAGTAGGCCTACACGATGCTCAGTTTAAAAAAGTAGTAAATATCATCCTAGGCCTACACGATGCTCAGTTTAAATGTTCTTAATTAATTTTTTGTGACCACACGAAAGGGTATTTTTGAAAACTTTCTTCGGCAATATTGGTCTAAATTATGGCAGGAATCGATTGGTAAATGTTTCAAGTCGCTAAGTGGTCTGGTTGCCGAGATATGGACCAAAAACTGCATTTTTTCGATTTTTTTTGGCTTTTCCGGGAAATCCAGGAAGGAATTCCGGGAATTTTTTTGGCCCACAATCATCCTCGGAACTTGCTTAACATATTTGCTTTGAAACTAGTCCTCGATATTGCTTCGTTGAGGAGGAGATACGACTTAAAGCTGGGGACACACATCCATCCAGAAATGACGAGTTAATAATCGCAATTGTGCGTATGGAAATTGCGCTAAAAATATATTAGTGCACATTGATATCGTCATTGATTTGCATGATTAAGACCCAGAATGCATTAATGAAATATTATGTAAATTGATGGAATTTATTAAAACGGAACTGGTAGGCCCTATATAACGTTATATAGCAGTAACTTTAAAAATATATTTACCACAAAATAGACTACAAACTAACATTACAAACATATTTATTTAGTTAGGTGAATATATAATAAAGTAATTTTAAAAAATAATTACTTTTTCCAAAACAGCTGTCTTCATTTTTACAAAAGCTGATTGGACATCTGCCTGGAAACGAAAAGAATTGGCAAAAAATGTAATAGTGATGCATCAAAAATGTGAAAAAATCATTAAAATAATTTTTTTTACATTATAATGGATGTCTTCTCCATTATCTAATGACATAAATTCTGATTTAATAAATAGTTGCTATGATTCTTCTGACAGTTTGTGTTAACTAGTTATTTCAAAATCCTAAAATTACTTACTCCAGACAACCACAATAATTAGAATAATTAAAAGAGGGAGTCCAAGACCCAATCCTACACCAAGTCCAATTTTTAATGTAGAAGATGTGGACGGCTCAGTTGTTTTTCTTGGTATATATTCTAAAAAATAATTTTGAATCAAAATACTAAGAAATTGAGTTAAAAATAATTAAACTCGTTCGGTTCGGTTTATGCTGCTGATAAATGGAGTATACATTATATGTAAAATCTATGCTATAGTTTAATTTATCATATGTACAGTCAGAAGACAAGCCCTTGAAAAATACAGTTTGATGGATATATATATATATATATATATATATATATATATATATATATATATATATATATATATATATATATATATATATATATATATATATATATATATATAAATCAAGTTTTTTTAATATCTTAAAACGTTTATTAGCCCAATGCAACGAGAAATTTACAGGAGGTTAATAATTTGAATCCATAGACATCGACGTAGGTTATACAATACTAATTTTGTACAATGGGATCTAGCAGTATTTATGAGCAATACAAGCAATATAAAATGTAGTTATATAAATAAATTAAAAAAAAACTAAAGAATTAGGATTTCACGAATGTTCACGATCTTAATTATTAAGATTGAGCTGAAAAGAAAATGTTTAACATTAAAATAATATAAGTTTTGACGGTAACATATATGGCAATTACAAATATTTTTTTTAAAAGCCCGGAAAGTAAATTAAGAATGAAGAATGACTAGCAGGAGAAATAAAAAAAAAATCTGTATAGACCTAATCAGCAGATGAGTCCGAAAAAATTATACTTTTAATACTAAAATCATAATTAAAAAAAATATTAATACTAATAGTTTCGCTGTCTGTGTATCTATCTATCTATCTATCTATCTATGTATCTGACAAGAACGCTCTAGAGAAAACACAAGCAAATTAAAAACGTTCATAGTAAGACGGAAACGAAATATGACGTCACATTAGAGCATATAGTAGAAAATAATCTCAAGCCGGAGAGTGCACACTGTAATATGACGTCATTGATTCTCGAGTAAACATTGAATTAAAAAAGCCAATTTTGTCTAATCTTAAAAGTGGTTTGCGTAAAGAGTTTCTTTCGTGCAATTCTTCTGGTAGGGGCGAAGCCCATCCCCCGCGTAAGAACGTCTAAGCCGACCCCCCCCCCCCCCCAACTCAAAAGAAATGTCGTCATCGATACACTATAATAAAATTACAGCATAATTCATGTGTCTAATCTAAAAAGTGGTTTGCTTGCAGTTTCTTTCATGCAATTCTTCGGGTAGTGGCTAAGCACGACACCAGTGTTTCTTTCAGATTTTTCCGTCCCGAAGGGAGGTACTTTTTCATGCATCTCTTCCGGTAGGGGCGAAGTCCCCCCCCCCCCAGGTTCTTCCTTTAGTTTGTATGATCTACCAATTCGACCAGTGTTTCTTTCACACTTTTTCCTCTCCGGAGAGGGGTGGGGGTACTTGAAATTTTCGGGGTGGGTTGAATTTTCTGGGAGGGGGCGGACACTCGAAAAAGTATATAATTATATTTCGTTGAATGGGACGGTAGACATGTTTTTGGGTGTGTGTGTGGGGGGGGGGTTGGTTTTAGTTTAGAGTAAATAGACAGCACTATCAACCTAGCGCCCGTTGTATCCTTCCTCAACGGGCCATTTTTCTCGTATATTAATAATTTAACATGTCTGAGAAAAGTACAATAATGTTGATGTAATTATTTTTACTTATAGCTTTCTCAAACGAGCAATGCTGAAATTTTTAAAACACGGAGCCTATTAGAATTTTTAAAATGTTAAAATGCTGAACTATATGTAAAACATAAAAGCTTAAACTATTTGTCATTGACCTTTAAATATAAACTGTTGTTGTTGCTCTTTATTTTTTACTAATTGCTACAAGAACCAATATATAATAAAGTAAGCTTGGGAAAATTGTTATATATTTCTGAATATGGTAGAAATAAGCTTAAAGTTTAAATTGTATGATGGTACATGGAACCTGCTGCATTGCTTTCTGTTATGGATGAATAATATACTACTAGAATATATTAAAGCTAAAGAAATTGTTGAATGCATTTCTTCATACAGTTTCAATATCCATCTAAAACAACGTAGATTGAGGTTGCATACTATAAATAAATATCAACAAACATTGCAAGGTAAAAGAAGCATACACTCTTGTACTACTTTATTTCATTTTAAATTAATAACAGTATAGTATTAACAGTTTCGAATGTTTCAAAATAGAAAATTTATAATCTAAAATCCAAATCCAAAAATTGATATATTATAAATGGATACAATATTAAATTGTTATACTACATAACATGATTTATAATCTATCTTACCAGCGGTTTTGTTTCCAATACCAAAACAGTTTTAACGGGTTACCATGATTTTACGTATGGTTTCCATAATTTTACAAACAATTTACATTGTTTAAGAACAAACACTTGCTATTTTGGAAATAAAATAATTACCCAGCTATAGAATTCTTGCTGGTAAAATTTAAACGGAGAAACTAGCCGACCTGCTGGTCCAGTTAGCTTATTTTTGTTTAAGCTACATGTTTTAATATTGAAATTGAATACAGTAACTGTCAAGTTACAATTTATGAATGTTGTTCCAATGATAGATATGATTAGTTGTACTCACTATTGAAGTAAATATACACATGGTAAAATTGTTAAAGATATCTAAAGAATAGACAACAGAAATTTGCTACATGGTTAAAATTTTAACAATACCACTCTTAGAATTATTACATTTTATTTTGTATTAAAAATTAAATGTCGATGATTATTCCATTGATATTATGACTTGTAAAGAATTATAGGACTTAACCATTTAACAAACAGTTTACGACTAAATTTAGTGAGCAAAAGCAGAGATTATGTTAATTTACCCAGTCTCCCTAGAAAATTCTGAAAAATATAAAAATAAAACAACAACTAGCCATAATATGCTGTTATTCTCCATTTTCTCATATCTTTTCTAAGGTGTTTAGTACGTTTTAAGACACGATAGTTACAAAGTAGCAGAATTATACAAGGTTAAATCATCAGGATTATTTATTAGGTACCTGTTACTAATATTTCATAAATTACAAACATCATATATGTAACAATTTTAATAATACGTAAGGATTGTATGTATTTACACATTACATTGTTCAGAATATGTAAAAAGTGCTTGGAAAATTATTTAAAAAAAGAAAATATAAATATGTACATAATTTACCCTATCAAAATACTTTCTCAACAAACACTCCTAATTGCTTTTTGCTTTTCAAAAATAAAAAAACGGTATAACTTTATTATTAAAGTCAATAGAGGTAGTAAACACATGAAAGTGTTTAATTATTATTCAAGCGAGTGAAACTGAAAATACTATGTACAGTAAAAACATTTAGCAAGAAGCTAACTTTTGAAAAGAAAAACAACTTAAGTTTGAACTAAGGTTTTTTTTCCGAATTATATAAAACCTTCTTTGAAAAGTTTTAACAAGATATCAAAATGTTAATCTCTTGTAAACATATACTCAACCTAATTGTCTAAATATTGGTAAATCTACAAATGATGGTATTTTATTTACAGTACATTAATATACATTTATTTTTCACATGAATTATAAAACGTCTTTGGCCCATACAAATGGCAAATACCACAGCGAAGAAGTTCAGAAATTATGTAGCTTAGTTGAAAAAAATACTAAACATTTCATATTTAAAAATTAAATTTCCCATTGCATAATGTGCTTGGAATTAGTTAATTTGTTTTATTTCATAACAAAAAGAAAAAAACCACATCAACATAGAGTAAAAAAGCATAAGCATATATCTAAGCAATGAGAAGTTTGATATAGTTGGGAATTCTGTTTTGCTCTTTTTCGTTGAAAGAAACAATGTTTCAAAGTTACCTGTGGAATTATCAACCGTGATTGTTGTCATAGAAAAAGTAGTCAAGGTTGCTGCACTTGTTAAACCTGTTTGGTTATTTTTTAGTCTGTTATGATATTAAATTTAAAAGTAGAATCTTTAATTCCGTATTTTCTTGAAGTATTAACTAAAATAATGTTGGTGGCATCTTAAAGGCTAAGTATTATCTCTTAACTTCAGACCTGGTCGCACCATGAGGTGAATATTGTAAATGGATAATTATAGATGAATGAAGTAGGATTAAAGATAATTCGAGATGATGTTTTAAAAGCAGCTGAACAGATGGACACAAATAAAATGTTTTGCTAATGGAAATATGAAAAAAAAAGGATATATTTGGTAAAAGGAAAACAAAAAAAAACAACATTTAAATAATAATTAGTGAAGAAATATACTTACTAACAAGACAAGAATAGCTCTGTGATCTTTTACAGTCATCGGTGTAATTATAGGTGTAAATCTGATCAGTATTGTTAAGTGGTGTCTTTATTGTATATGTAATAGTGTGGTTGTTTACTGTGTGCAGCGTTTCAAAATTAGATCCAAACTGCATTGATAATATTGGGTTTTTTAAATTGCGAGTAGACAAAGTATGTACATAATTAGTATCCTGAGTTAAGTTTAGCTTACAAGATGTATGATTGACGATTTCATTACTTATAGTCAAATTTACCACTTCTGATTCTGTAACAAAAAAAATAAATATATTGAAAGCATATTCAGCAAAAAAAATACTGATTAAGGTAACATGTAGGTTAAACATATAGTACAAGTAAGGTAGAAAGATCATAATTCACATTATTATGTAGTACTATTTATAATTTTATATTGATTCATTGTAAGTGTTTGTATAAATTGCATTTTATTTTTTGGTAGCATAGAGATAGTATTGTTAATACGATTTAACGTACTTATGAATGAAACAGAAAACTTTTTTTTCAATACATAGTGTTGGCAAAAAACAAAAACAAAACAATAACAATATTTTGTTAAAAACGTAACCAATATAAGAATGTTTTGCAACATTGATATAGATGTCAAGTGATTAAAAAAAAACGCTATCATGTTCTACTATGTGATAAGTTAAGTTACAATATTTTCTTAAAATAAATTAATGTATTTTATGTGTTAGAAAATAGTAATTGTAAGTGGTAGACACTAAGAATTATCTTTAATATCTAAAAATAAATAAATAAAAATACATATCCCCCGAAAAAGATACACTGTATTAACCAAAACAAAAAATATGTAATTGGCTCTTTTGCCTACTAATTTAATTACATATTTGTGCGAAAATGTTGAATTAAGAAACTTAGTTAAAATAGAACACAATAAATAATTAGCGAATTTGAAACATATATATATATATATATATATATATATATATATATATATATATATATATATATATATATATGTATATATATATATATATATATATATATATATATACATATATTCCTTTAAAACTAATCTGACCTACAGTTTTAACATCAGAGAAACTGAGTTTAATTTGTTATTTTGTGTTTGAAAATAATTTTTTGAGTAATAAAAATTAATCTATATGTACAATATTGATCGTTCTCAGTCTAGATGTTATAAACAAATTGCACTTAAAATAAAAATCGCAATTCTAATTGATGAATGTAATTTTAAGTATAACATGCTACGTTAGGGATGGGAGGCTAAATTTTTAAAAAAAATAAAAAAATGGAAGTCGTTTATGGATGACCGCTAATTGAATATTTATTTTAAAAACAAATACTTCCGAATCATTAAATTATAAGTTCATAAAGCGTGTGATACTTACATTAAAAACACACTCACATTATTTTATTTTATAGTCTATACAATTAGGCTACTTCAGCCAAATCGAGACTAAGCACTACTGAAAATAAAAGTGCTAACCAAGCGATATACTGAGTCTACTCTACAGTAGTGTCATAACACAAGCATTGACACATAAAATGTGCATACCATAAACGTAACTAATAATTGCCGCCCACCTTAAAAAAGTAGCAAACAACTGAGCTGAAACTTTAACTAGCTAAATATATTTGCTATCATGTCTTTATAAATATTTGCAGTTAAATAAAATATGATACCTTTTCCCAGTTTAGACTTGAATGATGAATCAAAGAACTATCTTTATAATAAGATAAATGGTTGCATTATTCGAATGGAAACCTTAATGTTAACCGCTACTTTAAAACATGCTAATTTTCGCCCTCCCTAGTAAGAATCAAAGCCCTACGTTGAGAAATACAGCTCTAAAATGTGCTATGAAAACTATTCTGCGATAATGAAAATGCAAGAATTTGTCGGATTTTTTTCTGGCACATTATTATCTATAAATAAGTTTAAATTTTTTTAAAAAAAGCTAAATTACATTACCATGAACAACAGGAATGATAACCGTTGCATATTTAGGACCGGTTGTATTATACCTAGCTAGTACAGCTCTCATTGTGGCACCACTATAAGCTAGATTTGCAGTCCTATTAAAAATGAAGTTATATTTAGTCCCAATTTGTGAAGTGCAGTAACAGTTAGTGCCATCATTGGTACAACTGTCAATCATACGCACTGTGCATATCTAGAAAAGACATAACAGTTGTTAATTACATATTTATGAGCAAAAATCTATATTTTTTACATAACTTAAGACGAGAGATGTCTTTAAATAGCCATAAATGTTATGGTTTTTTTTTACATCATTATTTTGCATAATCTATTGGAATGTAAGTTTAGTTGAAACTATAAAACAAAATATACACATCATATTGACAACAACTCTACTGGTTCTACTATATTACTCATGAAAAGCAGACTCTTGACAAACTAGTCAATGGAAAAAATTATTTCTGATAATTTAATTCCAAATAAATTTTCAGTTTGATAACGTACAGGCGTATTGCTTTTAAATAAACCATGTGAGCTATGTTTATGAGACGTATTATTGTGTATTTTGTTTAGAGCTGTGTTAATAGAAGATCGGGTGATGGGACACTATTGCAGGGAATATACAAATGTTGTTTCAAGGAGAAAGCTATGTTTAGACGCATTAATTTATCGATGATATTAACGAAAATATCAAGGAGAGTATTTCGAAGGTTTTTAACCATTGCCAGGTGCTTTTTTTAATTTTTCGTATACAAAGTATAGAGGAAGTATTTTCAATCATGAAAAAAAAATCAAAATCGTTTTACACCACCCTGATTCGGAAAAACATAATTTTGCAATCTTCTCTATGTGTTTGTGTGGATGTATGTCTGTATACACGATGCCTTGAGCAAAGTTACAGCTAGGTTGATGACATTTCATATATATATAAGTAGTAAATCATATTTAGTATTTTTGTATCAACTGTTCAGCGTTTTACGGTAACCGTAAGTGAAGCTTATTCTACTTTTAGTTTTTCAAAAGCCGGTACTGTTTCTGATAGATAATGCAATTTCAGATATAAGTAAAAAAACAACCCGATACTATTTTTCTTCCAAATATTGAGTAATTTTCTATGACCGGAAGTAGTATTTTACGCTATTTCCGATTTCTAGAAAAACGCATCTTAATTTATAAATACTAAAGTTTCGCACACATTTGGTGTGCAATTCTTTTGATAGGAGATTCGATCATATTTTTAAAAGTTTAAGTATTTAAAAATTGATTAAAAATCATGTCTTTATCCCGAGTTGCCATCCACTGTTGTGGATAAGAATAGTCGATAGAATTTCAGGGGATATTACTCCCGCTTTATCATAATTGTGCTATTGTAGTCGTATTAAACATTTTTTTAACATTTATTGCTCAGGTCATACACTTTAACAATCTTCTTTTTCAACACGCTCAGTTGCACACAGTTCAAATTTTCATTCCAAAATCACATGAGTACTTTGTAGAAAAAGAGACTGCTTTTTCAAATGGAATCAGTTCTGATCGTAATTCTTCAGTTGTGTTCATGTAAGTCTCACATTCCTCATTTTAATTTCCATAACCCTCTTCAATTTTTTTTTGGTCTGCCAACTATCAATTTTAATAGGTGGATTTTAGAGTATTATGGTTTTAAGATATCTTCATCATCTCTCCCCTGTGTAAATAGGCGTAGCTCATTTATGCGATTGGTGAAATATGTCATTGTATTTTAGCTACTCTGTATTTATTCGATAGATTAACTGCACTTTATTACATGCATATTTCTTTGTACAATTGGGAATTGCTAATTAACATTTAGACTGTTTTTGATATTGATTTTATCTTTGGTCTCAATTCTACACAATTGATTATAGAGTAGTTTAATCGAAAATGGAAAGATCTCTGGTCTTCCAGGTTGTGGGTTGAACAAATATGCCAGTAACATTACTTCATAAAAAACCAAAACGCTGCAGAAAGACTTGGAGGGAAATAAATGAAATTCCCTAGGAGAATTTTTGAAACTGGGTGGTGAAAGTCAAGGTATTTTGGAAACTACCCTGCCTACGACTAACATTTCTACCAGGACCACAATCACTCTATACTCACTGTTTCGAATGTTGAGAGTACTCTATATTGAATAGGAATATCAAGTTTCCACTCTACTGGACTTGCAGACTCTAAGTCCACTGTACCATTCAGAATAAGGAAGTCTTTATCTTCTACCATATCATTTTCAGTGCAGGAACCCGATTGGGGGAAGTAATTCAATGTAATAGTCTGACCTGCCAATATACATACATTACTTATTTTCAATATAAAATTTTAAAATGCTTTTGATAGGAAATTGTTTTAAAAAAAACATTAATTAAAAAGTTACATAATATATTTGACATGTGCTTCGATTTAAAAAAAACACTTAACTAATTATAATCAACCCATTAAACAACAAAAACACGCACTCGACATTTCAAAAATAACGTTTTAAACTCCAATTAAAAAAAACATCCTTTATTTTATCTTTGCCTAACTATGTAATAACTAGATAAATGGCTCGTTAAGGGAAAAAACGGACGATAGATTGTTATTGTTGTCTTTTTCTCTGAACCGAAGCTAAAATAAAAATCACCACCTTAACTTCAAATTTAACCGAAAACAAAAAATGCAATTCAAAACTGATTTGTGTACAGAATCGCCATTTTAAACGGATTTAACCTTGGTCTACAAGTAGTTTTTGCACACTGATACTAAGTATGGTGGTAGTCATACCCCTAAACATTACACCTAAGCTCAAACTTGACAAAAGTCGCATTTAGAGTTGCTTTCAGGGCACTCTTCGGGGGTAGAGCCCCTTGAAGAAAGTCTACCGCCCCCCTATAACGACATAGAATTTATTTAGAATATATAATTTTACCAGCGTCCGCCCTTTTCCCAAAAAATTTAGTCCAGACCCCCCCCCCCCTCCGGGGAGAAAAAAGTCTGCAATAAACATTGTTTGCATTTATAGATCATACAGACTATAGGTAGATCTTACTTCTATATTCTAGAACAGTTTCCTACTTTTGGCCGCTAAACCTTCATCATGCAGTTAGATTTTCTTTCAGACTTTTTTTCACCGAGGAAAGTGTGTGTGTGTGGGGGAACTATACATTTGGAGAGGGGGGGGGGGCAGTAGATGGGGGTTGAATTATAATACTAATAGTTTCGCTGTCTGTCTATGTATCTATCTGTTTGACAATAACGCTATAGAGAAAACACAAGCAAATTAAAAACATGCATAGTTAAACGAAAACGAAATATGACGTCACATTTAGCATATAGTAGAAAATAGTATCAAGCCGGAGAGTGCACACAGTAATATGACGTCATTGATTCTCGAGTAAACATTGAATTAAAAAGCCAATTTTGTCTAAATTAATTGGTTTGCGTGAAGAGTTTCTTTCATACAATTCTTCCGGTAAGGTCGAAGCCCCACCCTCGAGAAAGAACGTCTAAGCCGACCCCCCCCCCCCCTCCCCAACTCAAAAGAAATATCGTCATCGATACTCTATAATAAAATGACAGCCTAATTAATGTGTCTAATCTAAAAAGTGGTTTGCGTGCAGAGTTTCTTTCATGCAATTCTTCGGGTAATGGCCAAGCGCGACACCAGTGTTTCCTTCAGACTTTTTCCTCCCCGGAGGGGGGAACTTTTTCTAATTAAAAAGTGCTTAGCGTGCACTTTTTTTCATGCATCTCTTCCGGTAGGGGCGAAGCCCCGCCCAGATTCTTCCTTTAGTTTGTATGATCTACAAATGCGACCAGTGTTTCTTTCAGACTTTTTCCTCCCCGAAGAGGGGTGGGGGAACTTGAAATTTTCGGGGGCGGGGGTAGAACTTTCGGGGAGGGGGCGGACACTCGAAAAAGTATATAATTATATTTCGTTGAATGGGACGGTAGACATGTTTTGGGGTGTGTTTGGGGGGGGGGGGGAGATTGGTTTTAGTTTAGAGAAAATAGACAGCACTATCAACCTAGCGCCCGTTGTATCTTTTCTCAAAGGGCCATTTTTCTCGTGTAATAAGAAGGGGCTAAAAATGGATCAGCTTGACCGCTCTATCTTACCTTTTAAATGGGCGTATTTTGCGTCACAGTGTTAAACGTTTAAATTGCCCAATTCAGTAACTACGCACACAAATAAAAAGGCAGACAGATTTACATAGCGTTTATATTATCACAATAGCATCACTCGCTTTGTGTTTTATTAGTTTTCATTATAAATCAGCTTCATATTAAAAGATTGCGTAGTAACAAAATTTAGATTTTTAATTAATTGATGAATTAAAAGGTCTAATGTTTTTTGTTGTATCACCAACTTTTTTGGGTATGTTACATGTATTACAAATATACAGGAATGGTTACTCTTAAAATCACTTACTTAATAACGCATACTATCATTAGCATACAAACAGGTAAGTTTATTAATAAATTTCCTAAAAAGGAAAGTCAACTTACATACTGAAATAGAAACCACTTTATTTTTCTTTACTTTTTGAATTAACTTCCATTCAATGTGAACATAAATAACAAGTAAAAAAAAAAATTGTGTATTACCTTGTGCGTTCCTTAGCAATAAATGTAGACTAAGCAGAACATTGCAAACAATGTAGCGAACACTTTGACAATTCATGATATTGTTTAAAATAAATTATTCTAAGCCAAGTCTAAAATATTTGAACACACTTGTTCCTAGCCTATACTGTTCAAAATGCACTTTTACTTTCCATCGAAATGAATTCAAAAGTAGCAAACAGAACGTCACTTGAATCTTATCGCAGCTTTCAAAATGTCGATATATTTACAAAGGGACTGCGTAGCACAACATTGTTAAGCCATAAAATTCATGAATGGCGTCGTGATATCAAATTTAGATATCGGGAATTCCTGCTGGATTCGTGATATCTGGGTTGAGGGGTTGAGAGGGATACTACGAGTGTTAAACTTAAAAAGTAATAATTACCCCAAGTTAGTTAAAGATACATAACTAAAATGGTTACATTTTTTTACATCTATTTCAAGTACATAAATATATAAGTTTTTTATCCGGTACGAAATAAACAACATGTTTGTTTTAGTCAACCGTGATCTATATTTAGCTTTCATGTTTATGCAAAAGGGTTAGTTTAAGAAAATAATAATTGTGATTATTATAGGAGTGAAAGATTAAAAAATTTAAAACATCATCCTTTGCATAGCAACTACATTTGATCTTATCAGTAACGGATTGAGGGGGGGGGGGGGGGTTAAAGTGCTGCTTTTAGAGGCCCACGATGTTTAAAGACCTCTCAAATTTTAACGTATTAAATTTAAGTTTACAGCGTATTTTTTTTTCTTTAGCATAAAAATCAACGCTTTTATGTTTGCATCACAACCTCATTTCTCTTTTTAAAATATCAAACACTGTCACACATTTAAGTATAAATACCAGCTGTGATCACCTCCTACCCAAACATTGTTTATATAAAGCTGTCGCTCTTTAAGATAACATATTTTAGACAAGCGTTCGTTTATAACAGTAAAATCAGTTGATTTTAGAGTTTAAAATACACAAACAGCAACTGATATCTGACTAAAAGATTTAGGCATATTAGTAACAACTCCATCCTTTTAAAAAGAAACCAGAAAATAAACATTTATTTCATCAGATCGCGTAATGCGGTGGTAACCAAAAATTTTAAAGAATAATGCAGTTGTTAGGTGTAGGGTCTACATTCTGAATTAGCTCTGACTTGTTAACATTTAGACCAGCAGCATTATAGACTAACTCTAGAAATGAAAAAATGCCTTACCGTCTTTGCTCACCAGCTACATTAATCAGAAAGGTATGGGAAAATAGTTAACATTTCAGTTATTATAAGTGAGGTTACGGATAGTTATATTCTTTTATGTACAGAATATCTAAATCTAGTTATTTTGATTAAATATCCCTAGATGCATTATTTGAGATATTAGTCTATCTTATTAGCCTCTTCGAGCCTGGCGAGCATAGCGCAGACAGTGGCGGTCCCCTGATTTTCTGAGGTCTTCAAATTTGCTCTTACATAGCACATTTAAATTTCCGACATAATTCTGTTTTATGTTAATTAATGTTTTAATGTTTAAACGACAAGCTATTTTATTTACCATATAAAAAACCACACTAATATGAGTTATATCCCATGAAGAAATTTCAGAATGCCTAATCCCCATTTATGTTTACGTCGGCTGTCATCGCTTTCTGCTCAAAAGAAAAGTTTACTTAAAGCAACACTCCCCAAATACTATAAATTTGATTTCTCGCACACACAAATCAGAAAATCAGCCAGTTTCAGAAAAAAAAACAATGACTCTGAACGAAACGGGCTAGAAAAACATGATTTACTTCAAACCGTGCGTTTTTTAATTATTTGTCCAATAGCTAACAACACATAATTTAAAAGCGTATGAACCTACTGGGCCGGGTATTTGTATCGTTCAAAATCACTAGGAAGATAGGAATTAATGTGTTTTGAATGTAGGCCTAGTTATTTGAAGTGACTGTCGGTTAGTGACGTTGTCATAAGGAGATAGGCTCCAGAAAAACCAACTTCTCAATTAAAACGTTTTATTGAATTATTTGTGTATATCTAGGTTAGTGTACTAAAAGGAAAACATGTGCAAGCATCAGGGACTCTTTTGAAAATATGGTTGTCATGGCAACGTCGACCATCTTGGAAAAAACTACATTTTGTGGAGTTCTAAAATGTCATAAAATAAAATCATGGAAATATTTATTTTTTTAATTTTCAAAATTTGGTATGGCGAACTTTCATTGCAATTAATGCTAAATTTAATAGAATTTCAGAATTTAAAAAATGAAAATTTGAATTTTTATTTATTTTTAGCGGTTTGTCTCTTACAAAAACTATACAGCTGACTCTATTAGTGTTAGTACAAGAAGGATCAATGATTATATAGCCGATATATATGTTACTTCCCTTAAGTACCCTAACGTATTCATACACAAATAAATAAGAAAGGCTTAATAATAAAAAAAGTTGTTTTCCCCGTTTTTTTCCCTTATGTATTTAATTAATAATAATTAAAACCTAACCTTCACGCCTTGAGAGAGCTTCACGGATACGACTAGGTTTATCTCAAAAGTATAGAAAAACAAATGATAAAGAAATAACTCATTGACAGTGACGGATTAAGGGGCTGAACAGGCCGCCATTTATCTGTTATCAACAATAGTAAAAAATCCTGTTAATATGTTG